GATCGTTACTAATCATAAATTCTATTTATTGTCATTGTCATGTTATTAAATTAATTGTCACAAGCATTTGATTGTCTGGTAGAAACACGGTCTGATCATTGCAATAAAGCTAATACAATATGATCGATAGCTGTCATTCGTTTCTAAAAAATTCATTTCAGTTGGTCGATTTAAATGCACATCTCCAGAAAGCTGAGAACGACATAATAAAGGCAATACCGAATCCGAATTTCAGTGGACTTGCGATTTTAGATTTTGAAGATTGGCGACCGAAATACGTTCTAAACTGGTCGTCGAAAAGAATTTATCAGCGCGAATCTGAAAAAATCGTTAGAGATCGTGACAGCAGTCTAAGTGATGCTGAAGTGAAGGAAACCGCTGAAAAGGAGTTCGATGTAGCGGCGTAGTGAGTGTGCATTATATCAGAGCGATTATTAATTTCGTTAATAAATGTCCCAGGATGAGTTGGCGGACTCGACAATGATATGAGGCATGAGAATGTGATTAGGCTGACCCATAACAAAATTACTTGTCTGGTAAAAACACTGTTCGATCATCTCAAGAATAGTAATACGATACGATCGACGACCGTCGTTCGTTTCTAAAATGTTCCTCTCAGCTGGTCAATTTAGATGAACATCTCCGATCGACTCACATGAACATGTTAATATGTTATGCTAAACCTCGTTGCATTTACCTCTCGTCCCAACATCCGAGATAATTCCCCTCAGTGTCCATTATTCCAGCAAAACATCGTGTTCCCTCGAATACCTTTTTCAGTGATGAAATTTGTTCGAAATTTTCGACAAAGTATCCATCGGAAGAGTGATTGTTCTATAGGGAGAAGCAACTGTTCACAAAAGGTGATCAACAATTTTTCAGTAATTTTATGGTTGAAACAATCAAGCTCGGAAAAAGGCTGAGACCACATGGAAAGTGGGGATTCTATGGATTTCCACTGTGTAATTACGATGCAGGACAAAACAATGACGATGAATGCAGCACTCAATTCAAAGCATACAATCATATGTTAGCCGATTATTTTACAATATCATTTTTTACAATCTTTACAATTCACTATTAAAATTCAGCAATAGCTGGATTGGCAATCAGGTTATGAAACGTTTGGAACGTTGCTGGCCACAATGCTCGCGTTTCCGTGCACACTGTTTTAGGCAAAATTCAGCAATACAATTAGGCGAAATAATAATATATACCCTCATTTCCGTGAAGATCCTCGCAACATTATCAATTGATTCAAATCTCGTTTCCGTTTCCTCTCACAACACATTAGCAGATCGCACTTTTGCTCCATAAGTCATTTTCATTTTGCTTCCAGGCTGAACTAAAATACATCAGTACTCTGCAAATGAACAATAATAGAATTAAAATTACCGCAAAATTAGTATCACGACAATCGATTGGTATGAATGGTCACGATAAGAATGATTCACGATCGGCTGGTTCCGTACGCACAGTTAAAATTTCCAAGTTAATCTAAGAACACTAGATCTGTGATCATGCACGCAAATATATCATCAAAATAACGGCCAGAAACGCATCTGTCATGAATTGAGCCTTCAAAATGTTCAGCATGATCAAACGGATCTTGCATGACTGGAAAATACTGAATAACACACTTCATAGCAGANCAAAATGTTCAGCATGATCAAACGGATCTTGCATGACTGGAAAATACTGAATAACACACTTCATAGCAGAGTTTATTTTGATTTACAATTCCTTTTTTAATGCAAAAATTACTCGCACAGCACTGAACGTCATTCAGTGATTGAAATCACCTTCTGTATTCCTTTTGCTTAAAGGCACAAAATCTGACAAGGCTGATTACACGGTCTTTCACCGTTCCATAAACCAGAGTTTGTTAACCTACGATTCATTCGCCGTTGCTGATTTTGCAGGTTATTGAAGATTTTGAACGAAGTTGATGCTCTGTACCCATCAATTTATTTGGAAAACAACGCAAGTGCTGAAGTGAACCAACGTTATGTGAAGGCGATTCTCACCGAATCGAAACGTATCGCATCAAAATTGCAAGATCCCAACAAACCGATCTATGCGTACAGTAGTTTCGAATACACTCATCAGTCTGATTTTTATTCGAAGGTACAGATATTATTCATTATTTCATTACCGTCAAAAAATATTTTGAAATTTAGAAGAGTGTCTCAAGAGAAAAGAACGTTGAGTTTGCTATGTTGCAATCAAAAAGAATCAAAAGCATGAAGAGAAACGTCCAGCTATATTAATCTAGGTTCAACAAACAACAAAACAAGATTCAGCACTCAATTTTTGCCACATTTGTAGATCAATGAATGAGATTTAGCTCAGTTTCGTATCACAAGTTCTGAATGCTTACCACCTTTTGACCGCCCGTGCCCTGCAGCATGCATTACGACTTGGGGGCCCGATCTATCCTTCATAGGTTCTTTAAAAGTGTCGAGAAAGTTGTAAATTCTTGCTGACCGTTATGGACAGCCTATATCACAATNAAACAAATGAAGGACATGAATATCAATGGAACGATTGTGTGGTTATCGTCAATAGATCTGAAGAGCAAATGCAAAGAGATTGAAAGTTATCTCGACAAAACCTATGGACCATATCTACTTGATGTGATGAAATAGATTTCGGTGCTTGACAAATGTGAACAAATTCAATGACTCCAGCTACTTCTTGATCCTTGTTTATAGAAGGACAGTGACTTCGAATTCTTCACCTCATATTTTAACTCATTCAGCCATATGACTTGAATACTGGTTTGTTCTGCTCCACTCTAAAAACATAAGAAAAAACTTTAACCACTGATTCAAGATATTCTCCCTTTTTGGTCTATCCAACGCTTCTATTAAGACAAAAATGCAGTCAAATGTTCAAATTGAAACTGATGATTAGGGTTCATGATGGTATTAGCATTATTCTGCTCCATTTCTGTCGTAATTATCCTTATTTGTATCGTGTTTAGATCACTAATCGGTCAAAGCAATCAATGTACTGCTTTATATGCCCATCCTGCAATGGATATTTCATTCTAGTCACAAAATCTTCCATTCCTCAAACGATTTGTTCAATTCAGAACAGCCATTAACTGATTTCACCGTTGCGTCGTACTCAAATAACCTTACTGAATCTGTGTGACAAACAATAATTACTTACGATTTCATTGTTTACTAATTCATTGTTATTGATCGACGAAGTTGATCGATACTATTGTGATCAAATAAACATATAACTTCTGAATGCTTGACTTTCAATAAATAATGATTAATGCGCCTGTCAAGTTACGTCCCAGCTGATGACCTCAAAATATAACGTTGTGATTCTTATCACTAAGCCGACTGATCGCAATAAAATGAAGATGATACTAATCCCGGGATTGAAAAGCAACTTTTGAAGCATAGAAGTCTGGCTGTCCGCAACATCTGCAGGCCTGCTCTCAACCATTTTAT